CAAATGGTGTTGTCTTTTTTTTAGTAAAAGCACAATTTTGAGGACACTGCATATCTAGTAACCTATTAGGCAAGATTTATTTTGAAGTTCCAGTCCTGCTGAAAAACCAAACAATTCTGACCCAAGCTGCTTTTTTCCCTCCACAAAACTCTACTTCATCTTACTATCCCTGTGTTGAGACTCAGCGTCTGTCTCAGGCACCTACTACTAGTAGTAGAAGGAAACGTAGGTTAGAGAGTGATGAAGCTCAGCAGCAGCTGAAAAGGATAAGAGACTTGTTTCTAGAGGCTACAGATGAGGAGGATTTTGAGGGTTTTACTCACGAGGAAATGGAGCTGGAAGATTACAGAGGTGTAAAGAGAGTAGCCAGCAGCTCAAACAGTGATGTGGGATCTGTTGCTAAACGCCTGAGAGATGTAGCAGACTGTGGGGAGTTCGACAGCGAAGAGGAAGAGCTGGACTGGACTAAAGTTCAGGAAGTAATGGATGTAATTAACGCTCCCACGTCTAGTGATGAATTCCAGGGTTTTGATAATAATTGGGTTGCAGATAACTCTTTGCAGGATGGAGCTCGAAGTGCTGACTGGCAGCAATGGCGTGGCTTGAATTCACCTGAGGAATTGGACCCAGCTGACAGTAGTTCCAGCGACTCGGATGAGATTTAAGCAGCAGCTTGGGGACAGACTAATCGCAGAGTTCAAGGTGTCGCATGCCGTGTGCCTTGTGTGTAACTCCTGCCCTGAGTTCTTGTTACAGCTTCGTGTTTCCTGATCGTGTGAACAACCCTGCTGGATCCAGACTCGTGAGTCTTCCTTGCCTTGACCCTCGGACTGCCTGACTACGCCCCTGCTTAATCCTGGAAACTTCGTTGGACCGCTCTTCATGCGGATTGCCGTTTGCTGTTCTGTTTGCCTTTGATTCGGACTATGTTTTCCTGCTGAATTCAAGCTGCCTGCTTTTGTTTAAGACTGACTTTCCTTTCGTCAGCCGAGGCTGACTGAGACCAGTTTGTTTACATTCCTGCTGACCGCAAGCCTCCTTTGTTTACTACTCTGAACTGAAGAGTCTCCTTTTGTTTTGTTAATAGACATTAAACACCTTACTTTAACTCCATCAGTGCCGTTTGTGTTGCTGACTGCTCTGGGTCTTGACACCCTACCAGTAATAAGAAGTAAACAAATACAGGCAGGGAATTAAGTGTTAGTATGTGTATTTACCAAAATGTTTAGATCCAAGCTATCATAATGAGATGCTATTTTATATTTCAGGTTAAGGACTCATTATGTTGCAGGCTCTGAACCTGAAATACAGTAACAGTATAGTGATTAGCTGGACTGATTCTATGTTCCTTTTCAACAACCAGGGAACTTCTGTGTGCTCCTGGGGTCCTTTAACACGGCACAATTATAATGCTACGATTCCACTTTTAATTGTCAAAATTACATCCTATGGAGGACTGGGATTTGAAGTCCATAATGCTATAATTGTGAAATATGAAAAGGTCCCAAGAGCAAGAGGCAGATAGGTCATTTCTGGGGCCTTCACAAGACCATTTTGAGTCCCTTAGCAAGCTGAAATTATTTCTTTCCCACCCTATATCTAAGAATGTACAAATATATCAATTTAGAATAGATTTAGAACATCTGGATGTGTTTTCTTAAAAGCCTAAAAGCATATTTAACACTTAAGACAATTTAAAACCACTTTAAAATTCTTTAAACACATCTGCCTATTTGGATAATCGCAGTAGATCACTGGTCTCAATCTGTATCAAAAGGCATGTAATGAATGGCAAGAGATTCAAAAGAAGAAGCCCTCTATTTTGCCACCAACCTGACACCAAATTCCCCTGATGGACCATGTTCTCAAAAGGTCCCTTTGTGGACAATAGGACTTACTTCAGAGTAGACAGGAATCGGACTGTATTGCAAATCCTAATGGGCCAATATCCAATCTCTCAGCACATCCAGTGTTTCTGTTAATTTCTTTACTACATTTTTCTCCTCTGTATTAAAATAATGTCTCAATTTTTGGGCCAAGAATTCCACTTTTTCAATTATGTATTCCTGCATGTCAGGGGTTGGACTGAGTAGCTATTGCGGTCTATTCAAATTCTATTTTATTTTTAAAAAGAGACATGGTAAAATTCAAAAGCTAGTTTCTACTACCTGAAAGAACCTATTCCCCAAATATTTTTCCAGAAAAGCAGAACAGGAGGAGTCGGGATTGAGGTGGATTACTGTTTTTTGGTTACTTTTACCCCATACCCAAAGGAACGTGAAGCAAATGAAGCAATTTGCCTCTTTGTGACTGGAATTATCAAAAGATAGTAGTAACTGGCAAGTTTTTACACATCCTCACTTCTTTCATTTACATTATTATTATTATTATTAGTAGTAGTAGTAGTAGTAGTAGTAATCGCTTCGCTTCTGGTGTGAGAAAATTGGCCATCTGCAAGGATGTTGCCCAGGGGATGCCCGGATGTTTTGATGTTTTATCATCCTTGGGGGAAGCTTCTCTCATGTCCCACATAGGGAACTGGAGCTGATAGAGGGAGCTCATCCAGGCTCTCCCTGGATTCGAACCTCCGACCTGTCAGTCTTCAGTCCTGCCAGTACAAGAGTTTAACCAATTGCTCCACTGGGGGCTCCATTATTATTATTATTAGTAGTAGTAGTAGTAGTAGTAGTAAGTCTTTAAAGAGACTCAAAGATGGGCTCAAAGCCAACCTTAAGAACTCTGGCATAGACACTGAGAACTGGGAAGCCCTGGCCCTTGAGCGCTCTAGCTGGAGGTCAGCTGTGACCAGCAGTGCTGCAGAATTTGAAGAGGCATGAATGGAGGGTGAAAGAGAGAAATGTGCCAAGAGGAAGGTGCATAAAGCCAACCCCGTCCGAGACCGCCTTCCACATGGAAACCAATGCCCTCACTGCGGAAGAAGATACAGATCAAGAATAGGGCTCCACAGCCACCTACGAACCCATCGCCAGGACACCGAACTTGGAGGACCATCATCCTCGGACTACGAGGGATCGCCTAAGTAAGTAAGTAGTAGTAGTAGGAAAGATAAATGTTTCCCTTTGACATTAAATCTAGTCGTGTCCGACTCTGGGGTGGTGGTGCTCATCTTCATTTCTAAGCTGAAGAGCTGGTATGGACTGTAGACCTCCAAGGTCATGTGGTCAGCATGACTGCATGGAGCACCATTACCTTCCCACTGGAGCGGTACCTATTGATCTACTCACATTTGCATGTTTTCGAATTGCTAGGTTGGCAGAAGCTGGGGCTAACAATGGGAGCTCACCCCCTCCCAGGATTCAAACCGCTGATCTTTTGGTCAACAAGTTCAGCAGCTCAGTGGTTCAACTTGCCGCACCATTGGGGGCTCCGTATTACTAGTCGCAGTATAAGCAAAAATGTAGGAGGAACATACACTGATCAGAGAATTTACAATTTGTAGCAGCCACACAAAGCTACTTGCATAGAATTCAAAACTCTAGAATAGTTTGATATTGTTATTTTGGAAATTCTGATAAATGAATGCAACATTTCAGCCAAACTCCACTGTACTCTTCTTCACAGCTAAGCAGCCAAAAATGTAACCCATCATGGGTTTATTGCCTTTGGGGGCAGTATTTGTTGTCATGCGGCTACAGCAGCCACCACTTATAAGTGATAAATGTAGCTAAATGAATGCCAGATCTTTCACAAGAGGAACAGTCTTATAGTGGCACTTTTTCTTACCTCCCAAGTCCTCAGGGAATGATGCTGTAAGAAAATTATTAGTTTTTGTCGGCATACCGCATATTGTTGTACCTATTCAGCCATCAACTTTTTTGCAAAAATACCAAGAATGAATGATTTTTACACCACATTCATCATTCTGCGAAGGGGAAAACTCCCTTATTTATCACGTGTGAAAAACAGTTGATAAGATATATTTGATATACAGTGACATTTGCTTTTAATCAATTTATTTAAAGGGAAATTGTTGATGGATAGGTGACTTGTCAAAACTTAATATCCTCTCAATATATAATCTAAGATTACATTTATAGAATGCATGTTTGGCCCTTTCTCACTGAAGAGAGCAGAAAATGTGGATGCAATTATTCCACTGAGATAAAGGAAATCTCTTCCCATTCCCATAGCCATATACTCCTCAAGTCCTACTTACATCTTAGAGGAAGTGTACATATTTTTCTTTAATAGCACAAAGCTTTAAATTGTCATACAAAGCCATAATTGCTTTATAGGTGATTTCATTTTCAAAATGCATTCAATCAAATATCCTAAATACTAATAAATTCACCTCAACAAAGTGATTATTATGAATTTGACTTCTCAATTTACCAATGAAAATGGCCATCATAGCTATAATACTCATTTTATCATATGACTTTGATCTCTCAGATCATCTCTTGTTTTGCATGCAGTGCGGTATAAGACACACTCACATTCAACAGCCGAGCCCAAAGCCATGCTATATTTCATATGGCTGACTTTATTTAACACCACTGTGACTATAAATTGCATTCCCTATCAAGTTTGAGTGGAGGAAAAAATACACAGACGAGTGTGTCTTTGTAGTTTTGGATGCTGCCAGTCTGGTAAATTACGGTCTGCCCAGCCAGGGATAAATGCTGCATGAAGTACATTTCTAATATTAGACCAAGGTAAAAGGCGAGAAGAAACTTTTATGAGACTCTGATGGAAATAATTCATGCCCTTACAATTCAGCTTCGCATTAGGACAGAATATAATTTCTATTATAAATTAGAAACTAGTTTCTGTCATTCTCACCTTGACCATTGGAGTTATAAGCAGACATAGGATTTTGTAAGGCTTGGGAGTTAGCAAGACATTTTTTGCCGAAACGATTCTGTTTTATTTCAGATAGACACTTTCCCTTTCCAAAAAGGGGGCAAGGTGCACGAGAAATAAAATCAGTTGCTAAAGTAAAGAAGATGATTCAGTTTAAAGCCTACACAATACATTACCTTCCGCCTCGGGCACTGAAAGGCACTACATGGATTCCCAGAGGGCCACCGTCATTGGAGACTTCGACGATCTTTACCATATCACTGTGAGACAATGACGAATGAGGGAATGTGAACATGTACCATAAATGAACAACCCCCCCCCTCCCAGGAGACCGCACACACAGACAGAGTTTTATGAAAGCATACACACACACACATACACACATATATACACATACAACACAACTCAAGAGTATTTGAGAACTAGGGGTGATGAAAACAACACCGAGTGCTACATACCTCAGTATTAATCTGGAGGCATGAAAGGAGATCAATCAGGATCCGTTAATACATCAAATGCAACATGAACTAATGTTTTGGGCAACCCTAATCCATTACGCAAATTACACAAACATAACCATGACAGGAGGGGGTTACATGGGCTGGAAGAGAAGTCTTATACACAGAATAAGAGGCCAGTACTTGAAAACTCATATTGGAACCCATGGGCAAAAGAAGAAATGGGTCTTTCATTGTGTGTCATAGTCCAATGTTAAGGGGAGATTTTCAGCAACTCCAGAAATATTTGCTGTTGTTGGAATGAATGTGTAGCCAATCAGTAATATAAGGGCCAAAACATGTTGGGCTTTTTATGAAATAGAAAGGTAAAGGTTTCCCTTTAACATTAAGTCTAGTCATGTCCAACTCTGGGAATTGGTGCTCATCTCTATTTCTAAGCCGAAGAGCTTGCATTGTCCATAGACACCTCCAAGGTCATGTGGCCATCATGACTGCATAGAGCAGGGGTCCTCAAACTTTTTAAACAGAGGACTGGATTATAATTTGAAAAGAACATAAATGAATTCCTATGCACACTGCACATATCTTATTTGTAGTGCAAAAAACACTTAAAACAATAATTAAAATAAAGAACAATTTTAACACATATAATCTTATTAGTATTTCAATGGCAAGTGTGGGCCTGCTTTTGGCTGATAAGATACGATTGTTGTTGTTGAGTTGCGTGTTTTCAAGTAGTTCCAGACTTAGGCTGACCCTGAGTGAGAGCCAGGTAAATGACCTTGGAGGGCCGTATTCGGCCCTCGGGTCTTAGTTTGAGGACCCCTGGCATTACCTTCCCGCTGAAGGAATATCTATTGATCTACTCACATTTGCATGTTTTTGAACTGCTAGGTTGGTAGAAGCTGGGGCTAGCAACGGGAAGTCACCCCGTTTTCCCCAGATTCAAACTGCCAACTTTTTGGTCAGCAAGTTCAGCAGCTCAGCAGTTTAACCCGCTGTGCCACCAGGGGCTCCTGAAATAGGATAACATTTTTAAAAGAATAAAATACAACCATGAACAAGCACGTGAAGAGCTCTTTCTTCTTTTTCCTTTGGTTTCTTATACACAGGCAAATGGGAAGGTCTATTTCTTTTTCTCTATTCAACATTTTCTTGCTAATCAATCAATACTATATGTTGCTTTACAGGCTAATTCCTCATATGCATATATGCTTAGCATATGATCAAAGTTGCAACGTTTCACTCAGTTGGTTATATTAATAACTCTCCATGGGGACAATCCACAGGTCTTTCAGCTAAATTTGGTTTATAAACTGGATGAGGATGTGACACTGTGTAATGCTCCTATTTTTGGTAGTGCTTCCAGTGATACTTTTCTTCTATTTTAAGAAAGCCCTAGCACAGTATTGAGAGATATAACACTGGTTTGTGGTTTATACTAACAACAGCTGAGACTTTTGAATCCTATTGTTTATAATTGTAGTTTGTTAATGCTTTTGTGTCTTGAGATATTACAGAAATGACTATCAGCTAGAGTTTTTAAACCAGCCTCGAATCATAATCTCCAATATTGGTATGTCAGTCCCAAAACGACCCCACAGGTACATTTTGCTTTATAAGGCAGATCTTTTCATTCAACTGAATGTTCATACTGCTGAATACACTTTAATTCCTATGTAGCTTTGACTAAATCAGGATATATCATCAAGTACAGCTTGCAGATTTTTTTTATTTACTTTCCACTTTTTTCAAAGGCCAAACAATTTTTCAGCTTAATTTCAGAGCCCCTTTTGAAGTGATTGTCAAAATCTCCAATACAAACAGGATGGCAATGCCATTTTCTCTGCTGCATGGAGTCACTGCCTGAACAAACTCAGAAAGTTCAGTATTCAGAAGTATAGGGAGAACCTAATGGCTTATAGCTTATCATGGTTTATCATGGAGTTTTCTTTGTGAGTTTTATTCAGAAGGGATTGCCTTTTTCTAAGGTTGAAAAGTGTAACTTCTCCAAAGTCCCATTCGAACTCTTGTTTACCAGAGTTCTAGCCCAACACTCAAACCTCACGAGTCATGTTTTCCTAGGCACATGAGAGAACCCTCCCACAAGGATGGTAACATCCGGGCGTCCCCTGGGCAGTGTCTTTACAGACAGCCAATTCTCACACACCAGAAGCAACTTGCAGTTTCTCAAGTCACTCCTGACATGGGAAAAATATTTTTCTAGTCCTTTAAAATATTATCCATTGTTCAGGCAGGGTAAAAGAACAAAATGAACGTAGACTTCCTTCTTTTTTACCCATAACAAATTGTGGTTTACTGGACTAATATCTCTCTATGTCATTCCGATAAGACTTTTATTCAAACCAGACAGTGTGAAGAAAACAAAGTTGTTCATTATTTTGGCAACACGGTGGATGTTTGATGTTTAACAGCTGTTTTATAGGGGCCGGACTGTCTTCCATTAAAAATGAAGTGTTCAAATCGAATAGCAGTCTATATCTCTATTGTAGAGACTGGTAAGAATTTCAAACCAGTTTGTGAAATGTCACAAGAGCGGAAGTGAAAATATCAAATGCTTTAAGATCCAAATTCTTCTGGCACTGCACAAGGTCCTTCCATAAGCAAGCATCCTTCCATCTAGTCAAACCACTCTTGTATCAAACTCAGTATTGTTCACACTGGTGGGAAGAACTCTTGAAATGGAGATAGAAGAATATGCTATTTCCTAATTATTCTAGTATTAGTTTTCATATTTTACACCACAGTTTCAAGGGTGCACTGCAGGCACAGCAAAGAAGGAAAAATTCTATTGAACAGCCAAAATTGATTTTTCATTACTTGTCCAGTGATTTTCTTCCTTTTCTCTGCATGGTTTGAATTACCCAATTTCTTCTTATTGTACTAAAAGGCAAACCCAAAGATAATAGTGCATATCTTACAATAGAATCTTTCTAAACAAATAATGATGCTCCAAATAAGGAATTCCTATCTATTTATTACTAGCAAATGCTGCACCAAGACAGCATTTGCTTTGTCCTTTTGGTCAAAACTGTCAATAAAAAAAGGCAAACAGATAACATTGGATATTCAAACTCTGCTCAAAATTCCAGGATTTTCTCTATTCAGGTGTTTCAAGGTGAAAGTAATTTAGGAAATCTGGCAATCACAATTATTGGGAGATGCATATGTGTCTGGAGTGTATACAGTATAAACAAAAAGGCATATGAAACATACTGTATACTTTAGGAGATATTGCTTGCAAGTTTCTAAAAGGAATTCTATTAATAAACTTACTCTAAAGAATAGTTGACAGTATTCTCCAAACCAGTGTCTGCATGACCCACTGGTTCAACTCTGCTGTGTTCCTCTTCTGTCCCATTTTCCTCCTGGTAATAAAAGAAGAGATAATACCAATCATACTGTTTTATATATATACATTAAAATACTTTCAATAAATATTTATTTATTTAAAACATTTATATTCTGCCCTTCTCACCCCGAAGGGGACTCAGGACAGAGCACTGCATACAAACGGCAAACATTCAATGCATAAGCATACATAAACATTTAAAAAAAGTCTCAAATGTTTAAATCATCTGTATCACATTGGCATGGTAAGGTTTCCTATCACTGCTTTATTGCACTGTCCCGAAAGCTTGGTCCCACAGCCAAGTTTTTACCATCCTTCTAAAGGACAGGAGGGAGGGGGCTGATCTGATCACACCAGAAAGGGAGTTCCATAGCTGGGAGCAATCACTGAGAAGGCCTTCCCTTTCATCCCCGCCAATCACATCTGTGACAGTGGCAGGACAGAAAGTAGGGCCTCAGAGGAGGATCTTAATATCCACAATAGTGCATAGAGGGAGATGCGTTCAGACAGATACAACAATGTATACCTATAGCTATCAAAAACTTATTGAATTACACCTCCCTCTAAAAATGACTTAAAGATTTTGAAGTAGCTAATACTCCTTAATCATTTCCAGTCTATGCAATAGCTTGTTGTTGTTTTCATTATCATCACTGTCGTCAATGTATGGTGACCCTATCACTTAGTTTTCTTAACAAGATTTGTTCGGAAGGTAGCTTCCCACTGCCTCCCTCTTAAGTGCAGAGAGTGGGATTTGCCTAAGGCCAGCCCAACCCAAGGATTTCCATGACTAAGCAAGGATTCAGGCTCTGGTCTCCAACACTCAAACCACAATATTGTTACAGTCACCTAAATTCACTGTTACTAAAGTGTGAATAGTTCTAGCAATGATATCTCAAGCAATGCCACTGTTACTGTTATCTATACTATCTATATCTATACTATCTATCTATATCATATTTGGATTACTGTCTGGTAATCATAGTATTATGGTGAGTACTGGTTCACTAATGTTAATACAGCCTTATGCTGACCAGAAATGGCAGGAACCTTTTCCAATCTTACTTCAAGATGCTTTGTCTTAACTATCTCTACTACAAAACTATGGATAGCTCAAAAGCTGGCATTAAACAGGATAATCAGAAGGGGTTAAGCAGCTGATTGTTGCCATGTTGTATGAAATATATGTTCCACATGGGACACATCTAAACTAACCATTTAATGCAATTTCAGACCAGCATTGAAGACACATTATTGCAGAGGAAATCCTGGAACCAGTCTGTAGTCCGGATGGTGATTACACAAACTACAGAGCACTGGTGAGCAATAAGGGTTTTTTCATGTGCTTTTATGTGAGTTTGTTGTCTGGCTATTTCAATTTAAAGCTAGCTTTGAATTCCATTAAATGGTTAGTGTAGATGGGACTGTGGTTGGACTGGAGTAAAATGTTTAGCCAAGTTCTAAGTATAATTATTATGTGGTATTTATTTAGGTGGTAACAGAAGTTTGGGTTTGTTATATGCTACAAATCTGTACAGGGAGCCAATGTGATATAGTGGCATAAATGTTTTCCAAGGACCTGGGAAGCAAATGTTTAAATCCCCACTTGACCACAGAAGCCCACCTTAGACAAGTCACATTCTCTCAGCCTCAGAGGAAGGGAGGGCCAAGCCGCAGCTGAACAAATTTTGCCAAGAAAATTCTGTGATGGTTTTGCCATCATCATAAGTCAGAAATTACTTGAAGGCACAAAGTACAACAAATACTTCTGTAGAAAACATTACTTACAAAGTTAAAATACAATACAATTTCAGATAATGAATGAAACTCTTCTTCTTGGACATCTGTGAGTAAAGTTCCACTAACTTCAGCCATGCTCAGTCTGCTTAAGTGGTTTATACACCTCTAAGGTATAACAGAATCTACTGATCACTGCCTCTGTAAATCCTACAGTTAATTTCACTATTGCCAGCCTAAATATATAGGATAAATATAGGATACCTATATAGGATAGTGATCATGACCCATCTTGAAAGCTAAGTAAAGCCAGTACTTATTGCTTTGGATGGGGAATGAATACCAGATGCTAGAAGTTATATTTGAGAGGAAGGAACTGGCACAATTACCTCTAAGTATTCCTTGCCTGAATAAATCCAATGAAATTCACAGGATCATCATAAGTCAACAGCAAATTGAAGGCACTCACACACAAACGCATGGCCATTGTGACCCATTCTAAACACCAATTTACTGAAGAGCATGCTAGCAAGGTATTTCCAGAACTATTTCTGGATTCAAAGAATTAAAAATGTATGCATTATACACTATAAGCTTCATCTATGAATACATATAAGATTTAGGCTTCAACAGTAGAATAACAAATACAGTATCGATTTAAGCATTTTCCCTTCAGGAAATGAAGATTCATGCCTTCATTAGCTGTGCAGCTTTATAGAAATCTGCATCTCTTTAATTGTTCATACATACAGAGACACGCACCTATTTTATTGTGCCCCACGAATTTCAGATCGCGGAATTAGAGCCCAATAGCTGAGACATCAATCAGCAAAATAATATGAGATGAAAGGGTACGGGTTCAGCACACAGAGAAGTCAGACAATATATTAAATTATTGAGGAGATATTAAAGTGAGGCAGAGGCAGTCAGTAATGTCCAATTGACATTTCCTCGGAGGGCCTGCAAAAATAAGAGGCTGGATGTACCCAGCTCTCAATGAGCTGTAGAGATATACATACTGGATGGCAGATCCCTGCATGAAACTAAGCTACTCGAAGATTGATGATTCTGTGTTTTGAGAGCCTCTAATATGCACTTCTTAGTCATCTATCTCTCTTAAGCACCAGGCAAGTAATACATTTCAAAGGTTAACCAGCATCTTGAACTTGCCTAGAACTGCATTATGAATATAAACACAAACTCAAAATTAGATATTTGTGTTATTTATTTTTTTGAAAGGTGTTCAAATATAAAGAATATTGAGTTTCCCAACAGCACGTTAGCATTCATAAATGATTTCAGGTGTACTTGTTGCAGAGTCTGCATGTGTATTAGAATTTGGTTTTTAATGTATAGCTGAAAACAAAACAAAAAATTAAGTTGACAGAGGAGAGCTTAGCAGCATAAGCTACATACTCCCTTCTTTATGAATGTAAAAGAAAATGTTGAGGTCTAATGGGGCTTCATTTACGGAGCCCCCATTGGTGCAATGGGTAAAACCCTTTTGCTGGCAGTACTGAAGACCAACAGGTTGGAGGGATCCGGGGAGAGTGCAGATGAGCTCCCTCTGTGAGCTCCAGCTCCCCAAGCAGGAACATGAAGCCTCCCACAAGAATGGTAAAATACAAACAAGATATCTATTGTCGAGCATTTTGCTCACAGCAAGGAGAGCTAGAAGTGTTGTTGGATATGGCTGTAAAGAATTTAGAGCTAAGGCAGGCAAAAATGCAGAGTCCAATCTTAAAAATCACAAACGTTTATTTGCAATAATAATAACTGCATTTCCCAATGGTAAAGAACTGGGCCTGAGCTACTCCAACACCCATCTCTTCTAAGATTTCAAAGAGGGGGGAAAACAACAATCATTACATCTCTCCTGACACACACAGAGAGAGAGAGAGATCTCAAAACACAGCATACGCCAAGATGTAAGAATCAGAAGCCAGAATTAAAGGCTTGGAGTCAAAAAGAATCCATTCTACACAATCAATCAGAATGAGAGAAGAAACAGAGAGAAGAGGAGAAATTAGATACATTCCAACAGTAATATAGGAGGCATGGGAGAAGGGAAACCCTCAGCTTATTCTACGCCAGTGGTTCTTAACCTGTGAGCTGTAGACCACAAGTGGGCTGTGAGGATGAAAATCTGGTCCACGAGCCTCCTTCCTCTTTATTTGTTTATTTTATTTTATTTCCGCTCCTTTCGTGCCACCTGCCACTCCTTCCCTGTCGCTGATCATGGCATATGTTCTGTATCATAAACTAGAGCTGATGTGGTCTATCCAATACAATTTTCCCCAAACCAAATCTAAAGTTGACCAAAAACTGATTCATAACCCTTTTGGTACTAATATTGGAGAGTGGTCCCTGGTCAAGTGGTCCCTGGTCAAAAAAAGATTGGTAATCACTGATCTAAGCTAACTAACCTGTTCCTCATTCAGAACTAGAGACTTGGCCAGTGTGGGGTTGAATCCCAACAGGAGGACCAAGAGAGTCCTAGAAAGGAGTAAGAATTTTTGCTTTTCATTCTTTTCTTCTAATGAGCTTTATTTTGTGTACATTATACTGAATGTATTCAAAAGCACTGATTTCATGAATTAAAATTTTGAGGCCTGATTTGATCTTTTGATTCTGGTCAGCTAAAAAACCTCAGGGGGCATTTTCAAATAAAACCATTTTCCATGAATCCACAGTCTATTTTTACAAAAACCATGTTTTCCCCAGTGTTCTAAAACTCTACGGGAACTGTATGATGTTTCAATTTGATTTTCATAATCTTGTGAACCTAAAAATTACCTCTTCCAATTATAATACTCAGAGTAAAAAAAAGCTTCTAAGCCTCACTACAACATTGGTATCATGATGCCATAATCAACAGATGTGTCCCCTTTAAAAAACAATTTAATACTGCTGTAATCAGCCACTCTTTTCTTTCCAATATAACACAGACTTTCATTTACATGGAACCAAATGTAGATTAATTTGGACACCTGCAGCGGGAAGTAACTTGGAATTCTCATTAGCTAAAAAAAGTAACTAGCTTTGAAAGTATGTGCTACAAGCAATTATTGCCTTGGGTTTCTTCTTAAATTATAAACCTCACCTGTTGCTGAGATAAAATTAGAAAATGGTATACTTGATTTAGAAGTTTAAGAAAGTTCTAGAACCAGCAATTTTGTAATCTCAAGCAACACATTTTGTTCAATAACATGTTTTTATTAAACTATGTAAGTAAGGAATTATGCTTTCCACTGCACACATATACCCTTCTGCTATTCT